ACAACCCAAAAGACCAACATCGACAAATCAGTTTACGTTTCATGTTAGGACATCGCCCTGGCAACAGACATAAACATGTGTAGTTGGTGCTTTATGTAGTAGGTTGGCTATTCTGTACCCGGGCAGCAGCTCATATTCGAGGTTCGGGCTGATGGCTGTCGGCTAACAATTTTGTTTCAAATATTCGCTTTTTATGCTTTGTTTTCATTATGCCGAGGATAAAAGCATCCCCAAAGAAATGTGTGAAAACGTCAAATCCTCAGCAGTCCTCAAACACATGGGTATTTCTACTGAAAGGTGAGAATAGCACTCGTTTTAGCGGGTCCTAAAGGAGCGTCTATTTGGGAAAGGTTCATTGTCAATGTCAAAGATGTTCTTTCAATTAAGTTTTTGTTTACGCTGTTGCCTTAATGTTGATTAGTTTTCCAATGTTTTCATATTTATAAACATAGTTTTTGGCTATCGTAACGGTAACGAAATAAATTTAAATCGTTTAGTATTTTAAAAAGGAATGGTAAACCTTTGTTTGTTCAAATAACCCTCAGGCTAATTTTAAGCATGGCTTTTTGTGTTTGTATAGATTGTCTTGATCCATTCTGTTATGATTTAGGTGAAGCTTTGGAAGTTCCTGAAGGGTTTGCTGGTACTGGGACTCCTGACATAGTGCAGTTGAGGCATCCACAGTCAGGAACACCAGCTATGTTCTTATTCAGTCCAGGAGATGGGATGGTTCAAGAAGTTTTGACATTTTCAGAAAACAGAAGGTAAGCAATGCACAGGACTTGTTGCATGAAAGAAGTGATGAGTAGCATTTTAAATGTTTGGTTTAAAGAACTGATCAATGTTTTACATTTGTCAGATCTTGGTTCATCGAAGAATCAGTCAAATCAGATGGAAAGCTGCACCTGTCAACGCCAATTGATCCCATCTTTCTTGCTCTTCCTTATCTGAGAAAGGTGTGTACAAAATAGAACATACTTCAACTACAGTTTTTAATTTATTTAATTTTGATATCTGAAATACAATATGTCAATTTTACAAATATAAATGGTCATGAAATACACTGTTTAATCATGATGGGTTTTTTT